CCCCAAAACCCCAAAACCCCAAAACCCCATTGCTATGTAATTAGCTTTCTTAAATCAATTAATAAAACATTAAGAAAATATATACTTAAACTATTACAATCACCATTGTAAATTTTCTGTCGAGTACAAGTCTTTTCCTTGTAGTCTTACAAAGTATAGAACAATGAAAACTAGCATAATAAATACAACTATACCAGCCATAGCTAGAAAAGCAACTCCCAAGAATTTATTGCTGCCTCCGAATGCATTTACCTCCGATAAGTAAATGTATTTCTTGCCATCGAAGCCAGAAACATCGAATTTATTTGATATGGTTATAGTATAATTGGTACCTGCTTTTAGAGTTGTCCAGATGTGGCCCCATAGCTTAATGAAATTAGGGAAACTTTCCATCTGATACCAGACCATCACATGTTCATTTTCAATGTCCAACCAGGCAATACTCTTACCATTGCTAGGAAGCTTAAACTTATAGTCTCTATCAACTTAATGAGCAATATTTTTTTCATCGATTGTAATTTGAGTCTTATTCGAAGAGAATTGCAATTTATAAGTGTCGTTAAAGAAGTATTTTGCAATGAGGCCACATGGAAATGCAATATCGTCACTTCTAAGAGTAGATCCATCTAGGGCAACCTTAGGAATGCTATCACCTAGATCACTCATTCTAATTACCGGTTCGCATGTTGTGAGAGCTCCAGAGCCTAGATCATTACCCCTTAGCTATTTATAGTTTCTAGATTTTACAAAGTTTCTGTGATTTGCATAGAAGTTTTCTAGTTAGTAGTAGATTTTTGGATTTACAAGATCAGAGTCAGGGACAAAACTGACATCACATACTGCTACTCCGTTACACTTGTCATCGTACCTGATTGTTAGCTCATGAATATTGCTTGCTTGCATATAGCACAGCACTCCAAAACCAGCAAGCACAATGGCGAAGATGCCATAGCAGATCATTGCGCATTTGAAAGTAGGAGTAATCAAAATGTGACTGATCTACTGATTTTGGATCTTGCCCCAGCACTTTAGTTTTGAAATGTCGGTCTCCACCTCTTTCTTCTTATTATCCTTACTTGACATTTTATATTTATCGCTTTATATTATTTCTTATTATTTTATCAAATACTTCAAATGGGGTTTTGGGGTTTTGGGGTTTTGGGGTTTTGGGG